GGGCGGGTGGCGGGGGGGCGGGTGGTGGCGGGGGGGGGGGCGAAATGCAAATGTTCAAATCAATTTGCCTCTTCTTTCCTCCAAGGTCGGATGTTTTAGTTAGCGGCTAATATTTTTATAGGTTGAGAATACCAAATGAAAGACCTTGGAAATTGTTTACAAGGAATCCATATGCCTTTATCTAACCATATTGCATTTTATTGCGCCGATTGCAGGTCATCAATTTAAATAGGCACATCTACAGACTGGAGAAAATTGATCTTACTCAGATCACAGTGTTTCAAAGCTGTTGTGTGTGGTCTGCGGTAACTGGATAATGCAATGTCTATTTATTGTTAATCAGAGAGAGAGATCTATATATGTATATATATATATATTTTCCATCCATTGCGACTTTTATAACACCTCAATTTCCTAGAATTTCACAGTTTTCTCTACGTTTTTGCGCTGTTTGCTTTCGTAATTTCCCAATCCACGCATTTAAGCATTTGTTCACGCGAATTCCCATCTAGAAGAATGCCAGTGTGAAAATTTCTAACGGCATTTATTTTCTCGCCATTTGTTCCAGCTTCTGCGTTACCTTACCCAGTCATTTTGGGGGGGAGGGAGCGGGAATTGATCCTAAAGAATAACTTTGAACAGAAAGCAGACATGCCAGGATGCAATGTTTGCTGAACACATGTAAATTTTTAATAGGCCCTGTAAAAAAAGATTCCACAGCACTCCTGTCTTGTTGAAAAGAGTAAAGAGTAAAGCAGTTCTAGTGGTCATTCACATCGTTAGCACGGGGAGCATTGAACTTGGGTTAGCTGATTGGGGGATAATAATTGAAGGAATTCTACGTACTCAAACCATAATTTTGCCCATTAAGCGGCTTACTATACTTTCAAGTATTGCAGCGGACACAAATGTTTCGTTATCTAAAAATTGGTTTGATTTATTTGACATTTTTCTTCTATTCACTGGCATGAATCAACAGTGTTATCCCTTTAATTATCTAAAAACCTCCAACATAGACTAGACTCTTCCTCTCCTTCCACCCCTGCCTGCCTCCTCGTCATTATCTTATAGGTCATTTTCACTTTACCAGTAGGGGTGTGTGTGTGTGTATATAATTAATCGGCTGTAAGATACCCCGTGTGTCTCAATTGGCCGCAGGTGAAAGGTATACTAGCATCACTTCTGTCCGGGGGGTGACTAATAGGACTAGTAAGTCGGCAAACTACTGGACTATCTGATGCACACAGCACACAACCACAAGAACACCCCCACCACAAAGCTCTCAGCACTATAGTAGACTTAAGAGTCAGAGTCTCTCTCTCTCTCTTGTAACTAGGACAAAATCGAAGAGCGAGAGAGAGAGATAGAAGGTGTGTTGTCTCACAAGTCAGCGGTGAGTGTACCTTTGGTGGTCTGGATGACAGCTAGTTCCCAGGACTAGAAAGACCGATTGAAAGGTGGTACTCTGCCATTTACCAACTTGCGGCCCACGGTCTCAACCGCACAGTCTTACTATTCATGTCCCGAAACTCAGGCATCTTACTCATTCATCAAATGTGAAAGTGCGATTTAAAGAGATAAATTGGCACAGCGTATATCTTGGATGCAGATGCGTCTGTTATAAAGTTACGTTTATTTGCTCACTTAATTTCCTTTATGATCTACTTGGTGATGGGGATAGGGAAATGGTCATCTATTTTATTGGCTGTTTCATTGTAGCGCACTTTTCTCATGATTTTAACAACCGACTGGCATTATTACCTGCAAGAATTGCATACAGTTAATAAGGGAAAAACCTGAGAAGCATTTAATGGAACTACTAGGAATGAGGGGTGACTGTTGGCAGAAATAGGAACTAGAGTTAAGATATCAGCCGATCCTTACCTCATTCATATACTACTCTATTCAAGAGTTGGAGTGTTTGGCCTTCGAAAATTGATCAATAATCATTATGTGAATTAATGCCCACGATACAGGGACTTAATTGGCCATTAAACTCCATTGACCGATTGGTTGGACCATCACAAAAAACCGTTTTATGACAGATAAGAGAAGTCAGTTGATTTCAGCTAAAATAATTGTCAAATGGTTTTATCCATTCAATTGTATAACATCTTTTGAAGCAATTATCGACAACTACATCAGCTTATGCTAGCGTCATAGTTGACATCTTGAAATATTTTCTCCGTCTATTGGGTAACTGACAGCACAATATTAATTTTAGATTGCACCAAGAAATCAACTTTTAGCTCGTTTGTACGGATCTATTTCCCCTACCGTTTGCTTAGTTTTCCACAGATTTCACCTGTTTAAACTCGGAATAGCTTTGGTCTGAACAAGGGCCTTAGGCAAATCATGTGGTAGGAGTAAATCTTTGTACAGACCAAACAATAATTAAACCACTCCATTTATTAATCTTTTCTTGCATAAATCAGCCGCGCTTAACGCCACTCATCATCATTATAATGACTAATTCATCTGACCAATAATCCTCGCACAAAATTAATGCGTCATTCTGGCTGGCCTCAAATGTCATCCAATTGTGAAGACAACGCTAAAAGTAGCAGTCAATAACAACTCGAGGGGGTCATCATAACATCATCACCACCACCACAGCACAATGATATTTCAGAAAGCCGCAAAAGGAGACAAGCAGGGGTCACTCGCCATTGGCCCCTTAGTGGAGGTGTTACCACGCAGTAACAGTCAATTTAGGGTGGTAATGAAGATCGAACATCCAGTTAATTTCCCCACATGGCAACATTCATCTTCTAATTCCTCCCCACAACTCTTCACCCCTCGTAAGCAGACACTGTTGTCTGATGACTACATTTTGGCTTTTGGGTTGCGTAGGTCCCACCCTTCGTCCACCACCTCCCACCCCCCACCACCACCACATCCAATCCCACCCCTAGGCATTACCCCATTTTTTGCTTAAACACTTTACACGTGCTTCTTGGCGCAAATTCTTCACAAAGCATTAAGGTACTAATTTGTGCAATACTGAAGGAGGGTTCGCCACCTCAAGATTAATTTGGTGGATGCTCAGTGATTTTTTGTCGCGACACGCAAAGACCAATAGCTTTGATCATCTTGACGATGCCGGAATCCTTAAACTCTTGCAAAAGCGTGATTGTAAAAACTAAACTTCTTTAAGTTTTCTGAGAAAGGATTCACGTCATTGCATTGCATTTTTAAGTGGGTTGAAATGTAAAGGAATGCGCCGAAATTTAATGGAGTTTGCGATCAGACTTACGCTAATTGAATTTTATTCACGGATCACTAATACTGTTTGATTGAAGTTTACATATCACATATTACTGCAACTATTTTAGATCAATTTAGAATTGAATAGAGTTTTCTTTGGATGACTTAGAAATCAAAGTAGCATTGAAAATTAGGAGGCATTTAAAATATCATATATCAATCAAGATCAAAACAGATTTAAAAAGCATGCTACAAGATGATTATGATCTCAAGAAACGCTAGTTGAATTGTAGTACTTTTCAGTCATAGAACCGTCTTAGTGTATAGTAGCAATGCTGAGAATACAGTCGTTAAATAGACTTAACAATTGTTGCGACGCGGTTATCTAGATCACTCTGAATACTAATGAACTCACTCTAATTTGTTGACAAAGGGCAAAGAAATAAATGCATTCACGTAGTTTTGAGAACTGTCGACTGAGTCGATTCCAATTCGAACATTGACTTCAAAGCCAAACAAAAGCCGTATATGTGAAATTAATTTTGCCTAAATAATATGTAAGCACTATCGACTAGGCAAAAAATATCCAATGCCAATAACATCTTTTGACATTCAGGTGTTGTGAAGTGAAATGTAGCGTCTGCCATCGAAAAACCCGAATCTATCGGTGCAAACCGGAGGTACCTTCCTTGACGCGAAGAATTGATAGTATTCTCAATGGAAGCGTCGCCAATTTGTGGGTGGGACAACGTCGGAAAGCCTATTATGCAAATCATCGTTGAACTAAAGGAAATATTTACACAGACATTGGCACTGATTTCAAATCTTACCTGCTTGCGCCCTTTCATATCTTATTTCAACTCATTATTACGCTGTAAACTGCTCTTCATGTAATTGTGTGATTCGCTTATACTATTATCGTTTTTTTGTGTGCATATATAGCTGCAATTATGCTACATTTGTTGCTTAAACGATCGTTTGATTGCGGTTAATGCCTAATGGTCTTCTTATGTATGAAGTTTGAAACACATCATTTTACAGAGTGCAGATCGTATGAAACAGGCTTACTTTTCTGATTAAATTCCTTTTTTGCTCTTGAGCAAAAAGGATAAAAGTATTACCTTCAAATATGGAAATCTTAGATTTTTTACTAAAAAAGCCTAAAATAGGATAATCCCGGATTATTAGTTTAAAATTGCGGGGTGTGCGTTAGATTTACCTCCACGTGGTGCACCCTGGGCAACGTATATTCATACGGCAAAAAAAGTCTATTGACCGGCATTTGACTTCTGACTTCAAACTACCACAACCCCCCTGGTTGTCATACTCGACCCCTTTCACAGTACTCACCTCACCTTTTTCTCTACCTTTGTGTCTGTCTGCCTCTTTTACATCTGTGAATCACTCTTCTGTTCCCCACCCCTCGACTTTCTGCTACTTTAATGAACCTTCCCTCTGTGAAGCCCGAAGTCAGCTAAATGGGTAATGATATCTATCAAAACGCCTGCCATTTGAAATAAATAAATAAATAGTTTAAAATTGCT